CCACCCACTAGTGGATCTCTTTGCGTCCCCGGCCAACACACAATTACACCGGTTCTTCTCCCGGTTCCCCTCTCAGGGGGCGGAACAGGTCGACGCGCTCCGGTCCCCTTGGCCCCCAGGTCTCCTCTATGCCTTCCCGCCGCTCCCTCTGATTCCGGCGGTAGTTCGCAAAATCCTCCAGGAGGGTGCGGAGGTGCTTTTAATTGCTCCTCATTGGCCACGGAGACCTTGGTTCGCCGATCTTATGACCCTATCCATCACGAACCCATGGCGGATTCCCCCGGACAGAGTCTCACTCAGTCAGGGGGCCATCCTCCATCAGGATCCCCAATGGCTCCAGTTAGCCGTTTGGCGCTTGAGCGGTCTTGTTTGTCACGACAGCTCTGTTCCACGGGGGTGATCAACATAATTCAAGCATCTCGCCGTCCCTCCACCAACCGGATTTACGAGTCCACGTGGCGGAATTTCCAATCCTGGTGCTCCAGGAAGCAGCTGTCACTTGCTCAACTCACTATTCCCCATATTTTGGAATATCTTCTGGAGGGCCTGGAGAGGGGACTAGCTCCGAACACGTTACGCAGGCAGGTAGCTGCCCTATCCACAGTTCTGTCATGCGACTCTGTAAAGTCGTTAGGGCATCATCCCTTGATTAGATCCTTCCTCAAGGGAGCGGCGAACACCAGGCCATCCACGGTACATAGGTACCCGTCTTGGGACTTACCAAGGGTGCTTCTGGCCTTGACAAGGCCGCCTTTCGAACCCATGAGATCGTGCGACTTTCAACACCTTACCCAAAAGGTAGCCTTTTTAGTGGCAATCACGTCGGCTCGGCACATCTCCGAGCTGGCGGCGCTCTCGGTCCGCAAGGACCTGTGTTTTTTCCGCCCAGACAGGGTGGTCCTCCGACTTGATCCCACCTTCATCCCGAAGGTAAATTCAACATTCCATAGGAACCAGGACATTGTACTCCCGGACTTTTGTCCGAACCCTTCGTGTACCCAAGAGCGGCAATGGCATAGCTTGGATGTCCGCAGGGCGCTCAGTTTTTACATCTCACGAACAGCGGTTTCCGTAAATCGGAGGCCCTGTTCGTATCTTTCCACCCTTCTTCAAGGGGTCGGAAGGTCTCTTCGTCCACCATAGGCAGGTGGATCAGGAAGTGCATCGCCGGGGCATACCAGGCTGCATCATTGCCGGTTCCAAGAGGGGTCACGGCCCACTCCACCAGGAGTGCTTCTACCTCTGCGGCCTGGGATACTCAGGCG